TTCAGTTTTAACTAAAGTTATTTTCTACTTGTTATTGGGTTTATTTCAGTGATTGTAACGGTGCGAATTATAATGCTACCTTTAACGTTATTATGACGTCACAATGGACAATACTTGACGTCGTGCTTATGAACGTTACTAAGCAATTTTAAATTTAACTTTTATCTGTCTGAAGAGCCATTAGACAGAAAGCGCTAACAGTAAAAATGATTTTCGAGATTTGTGATTTCTGACTTTTTTTCATTGGATATATTTTACTGTACCAAAACACTGGATTTTTCTTAAATTATATATATATATATATATATATATATATATATATATATATATATATATATATATATATATATATATATATATATACATAATTATATATCCAAAAATGAAAAGAAGTAGCACAGTGTCCGGTAATTAATATTAGAAAAAAATGGCAAGGCAACAAATGTTAGTAAAACGTAAGCACTTTCTTCATTATTTCTTCAGACGTTTTACAGTTCAAAACAATTCAAAAATGTGACGTAATAACGTTACTTGTTGATAACGTCAACAACAATTCAATGACGTCACAATGCTATTTGAGGAAACAATAATAGAGCCAAAGTAAAATAACATAATTCATAGCGTAATACATAATTAAGTCATGAGACAGTCTATATTAAACTATTTAAGGATGGTTTAAAAATATTTATAAATGTTTTTCTTTTTCCCGTCTTTCTAAAACGCTCTCTGTTTTGAGTTTATAAAAGGGATAAACTGTGAATTGTCCCTGTCCACAAATATCAAGATGTTCACTGAGTTTTATTTTTCTGTACTCGGGTTGGTTGATATGCTGTCTGTGTATACGTATGCGAGTGCGAAGGGCGGTCCCGGTTTCTCCTATGTATAATTCTCCGCATCCAGCGCATGTTATACAATAAATAAGGTTTTTTGATGCACAGGTCATGTCTGCATTTACGGTAAATTTCTTATTTCCGAGTGTAAAAGTACTTCCCTCTTTAATATATCGGCAAGTTCCACAACGTGAATCGGAGCATGTATTGACCGTGTATGAATTCCGTTGTTGAAATACAGATTTGCACAATATTCTCCTGAGGTTTTTAGGTTGTCTTTTACTGTTGATGAATTTATATTTTTCCAGCACTTTGGACATTTTCTCATCGGTCTGTAGAAGGTTGTTGAGGTGACGCACTGTAGGGGTAATATTCCTGTTTATTAACATGAAAAATGACGAGGAATTCAAAAAATAGGTTATTTTTGCATTTTATTGCCTTTTTAGTGAAATCGTTCACGCTGACGCGTGACTCTCTTATAGAGAGAAAACACGTGCTATTTCCATGTTATTTGGACGTACCGGTAAAGTGCAGTTGTCCCCCTCGGATTGTAGGTAGTTACAAGCGGTAATATTGAGGTATCCGGATTGTCACTATTTGAGGAATTAATAAGTGTTTCTCTGTCGATTTCTGTGGCCTTTTTTATCCCTTCCTCAATGATTCCGGAAGGATAACATTGGTCAAGTAAATACTTTTTCAATTCATTTAGACGTTTATCTCTTGTCTATATATACTTAAAATAAAAAAGAAAAACACGAAAAACTTCAGTAAAGCTTTAGGCCTTTCATTCTATCTTCAGAAGCTTTACAAAATAAACAATTGTAGTAACATAGTAACGTTACACAATAAATGGCGGAGTGTATGACGTCGTTATTATGAAGTCAAATGTACTATGACGTCATAGTTTACTGCTCACTGCGTACAGGTAAAAGTACGGGAAATTCTTAAGATCTCAATAAACTGCAGATATACAAATGCATACATAATTAAATAGAATAGAAATACATTAAATCAGATTGTTATAAGCTTTGGTTTAAACGTACGAATAAAATGTTTTTCTTTTTGATGTTTACAAATGTCATTTCCTCCTGCTACTTTATAAAACGGAAATATCATAATTTTCTTTTGTCCGCACACGTCTAAATGTTCACTTATAGTGGTATTTGTCTATACTCCGGAGTGTTAATCTGTTGCTTGTGGGTACGAACCCGGGTACGAAGGGTGTTACTGGTCTCACCTATGTAATATTCACTACACCCTGGACAGGTTATCACATATAAAACATTTTGTGTATCACACGACATATTGGCGTTCACTGTAAATCTTCGGCCGTTAAAGTTATAACAAGTTCCTTCCGTTAGAAAGTCACAGTTACTTAAATAAATAAAAACAGAATGCTGCAGTCCAAATTAAATAAAATCTTTACTGTTAGCGCTTTCAGCCATGTTGGCTCTTCAGACAGTTATATAAAAATTAAAAACGTTGTCAAGAACGTTGCTAATGACGTCGTGATAACTTTAGGCATTATGACGTCACAATGTAGTTTGTAGTAGCGGCTGCATGAAATTTTTCAACGCAGTCAAACAATGTATAATTAAAGCATAGAAATCAAATAAATTAAATGAATTATACATAATGTCATTTGCATTTCAGTTTTGGTTTTAAAAGTCTTATAAAGTAGTCCTCTTTGGTAACACGGGCGATTTCATCCGATGTCCACATTTTGTAGAAGGGAAAAATCTTAAATTTCCCTTTACCACACTCGGCGAAATGTTCTGAACAAGGGGTGCATCTGACAGTTTCGTCCCACAGGCGCTTGACGTTTTTAACCTTTCTATTTATAAATAAAAAATTTTCCTACTATAATAATAAACAAGGACGGACACATAGCCATCTTGGATTTTTTTCAGGTCAGCTACCTCACCTCGATTTTTAGTCTACAATATGTTTAAAATAAACAGATACAACCCTTTCCTTGGAGTACTTACCTTAACTATGCCTCCACTTTCGGGCAATCCAACTCAAACCACATTAAACATGTTAAACACTCTCTAATCTTTAAAATATCGCTTCATACTCAGTCTACTGCTACCGACTCGGTAAAAACTTAGAAAAGGGAGGCCGGAAGTTTATGTTAGAACGTCATAATCCGGGAAAGCCCTTTTCTGATTGGTTGATATCTTAAGAGTTATAAATATTAAAATTGCGGTAATATTTGAAATAGAAAATGAACTGTTTGCATCATGTAAATCTATAGCATGTAAAATAAAATACACACAAAATAATGGAGCTTGAACAATTTTACTGGTATGTATCATATTTAAATACCTTAGTAATCAATCAAATTTAAGTAGAGGAAATTCTCATTTACATAATAACATCAACTTCCGGCCTCCATTTTCTAAGTTTTTACCGAGTCGGTAGCAGTAGACTGGGTATGAAGCGATATTTTAAAGATTAGAGAGGGTTTAATGTGGTTTGAGTTGGATTGCCCGAAAGTGGAGGCATAGTTAAGGTAAGTACTCCAAGGAAAGGGTTGTATCTGTTTATTTTAAACATATTATAGACTAAAAATCGAGGTGAGGTAGCTGACCTGAAAAAAATCCAAGATGGCTACGTGTCCGAACTTTTTTATTATTATAGTAGGAAAAATTTTTATTTATAAATAGCAAGGTTAAAAACGTCAAGCGCCTGTGTTTCGTCCCGTATATGTTGTTTGTGTACCCTCACTCGTGCGTTAAGTTGATTTGTCTGCCCTATATAATATTCGCCACAGGTTGGGCATGTTGCACAGTAAATCAAATTTGAAGTTTTACAATTCATATTGGTATTCGGTTTTAAAACTTTCCCGTTTTTAAGTGTAATTTGTTCGCCCTCCTGAATGAAATCACACGTGCCACATCGGGGGTCACTACACTTTTTGTCGACACTCTGGTTGCTAGAGGAAAATTTTGCTTTGGTTAATATCCTCTTCAGGTTTGGTGCTTGTCTTCTGCTGTTAATAATTGACGACTTGTCCAGAAGATTTTTCATGTTTTCAGATTGTTCTAATATTGGAAAAAATCGCTTTGCTGAATTGAGAATATTGTAGTTACGGGGGTTGTGAGTTATCACAAATGGAATATTCTCTTCGTCGTTTTCCTCTGGATGGCGAATATTTCGTAATTGGGTTATAGGTATGTCTTTTGCCCGGTTGATTCCGTCCTCAATAAGGTTCATTGGGTAATTTTGTCGCGTCAGGTGTTGTTTTAGTTATATATATATAATTTAATTTTGCTTGTATTTTTGCCTCTCATTGGTTGATTTCCAAAAAGGAACGCATAACATTTTGTATAATCTGGTTTGGTATGGGGACACACCCCCTTGCCAACCAGCATAATCATCGGTATACATCAATCCCCTCATTTCCAGTCCTTGGGACTCATGGAAAATTCCAGATTTAATGAATGTACCTTTAATTTCAAACAGTTACTCGATCTTGCCTCATGTAAACAAGCATCATGGCTGCTAGATCTATGTATCAGTTTTTACCTCCCCTCGCTTCCCATCACTTCCGTTACTACGGTTGTATAATTGCGCGGTAAATTTGAACTCATAAAAACAACACAATTTTACATCCCCAGTTAAATAATTATTTTAAAATTAAATTATAAGGAATGACTCTAATTCTTGGCCAAATTATCGAGTATAATATGGTTTGGGTCAGTTTACGCTTTTTTATAATCCGCTTCGCGGATTTTAAAACATGATTGTGACGTAAACCTTTTGTTTGTGTTGTCCATTCTCTAGCATAATGTTGAGCTAACTCCCCTAACAATCCATTAAGTCACCTGTAGGAGTCCATTCTTTTTGGAAAACTGTCCATTCTTTTAAAGAATGGACAGTTTTTTCAAAAAGAATGGATAAGTTAAAACAAACAGAATGGAGAGTTACAGGTAAACACAAAAAGTAAACAAAACAAATACATTAAATATGATTTTTAAATGTACATGCAAATAACAAAATGAACTTGGAGATTTAATGGAATTTAATTCTTCACAGCAATAAAAAGGTTATCGTATCTTTGCCTAGTTTCTGTAAACATGTATTTTACTAATTTATTTACAGGAACACATCAACATTCTTTGAAATAAAAAAAAATAACTCTGAAAATTTGATAAAATAAAGTTTTTATCCCTTCCCTTTTTGATTTGTACCAGTAAAGATATATTCGACAATAAGGCAAATTACTACAATAATTGCTAGAATCATTGCGGTAATACATAGTCCAAAACTATAGCTGAACCTTTGAGGTGGTGACCCTTTTATTATCTCATCCTTTTTACTTGAAAATATTGCAATACACAAGAGGAGGGAGATCACTGGAAAGAAATGTGATTACATATAATATATATAAAATAACAAGATGTTTTTGTGAAACACTGATGCCCCCGTATGGCAACATAGCAAAGGTTAAGCTTTCTCAAATGTAGATTAAATATGCTGGTACCAAAGTAATGCCTTTTCACAAGAAATGCGAAATATAAAAAGCTAGCTACACCTTTTCCAGGGTTATGACCAAGGTTTACATTTTAAAATATAGGTCAAACTCTGTTTCAAGGTCAAAGGGTCAAGGTTGTTGGGTTGAAAAGAAAGGCTTTGTCGCAAAGATTACGTATGGAAAGTATGAAAGCGCTGGCCCTTACTGTTTAAAAGTTATGGTCAAGGTTAAAGTTTGTAAAAAGTAAGTGAAACTTCAAGGTCAAGGTCAAAGGGTCAAGATTCTTGATATCCAATGAAAGGTCTTGTCACAAGGATTACACATGTGAAATAAGAAAGCTCTAGCCCCTACTGTTCAAAAGTTATGGTCAAGGTTAAAGTTTGTAAAAAGTAAGTCAACCTCCAAGGTCAAAGTCAAAGGGTCAAGATTCTTAATATCCAATAAAAGGTCTTGTCACAAAGATTACACATGTGAAATATGAAAGCTCTAGGCCCTACTGTTCAAAAGTTATGGTCAAGGTTAATGTTTGTAAAAAGTGGGTCTAACTCCAAGGTCAAAGGGTCAAAGTTCTTGATATCAAATGAAAGGTCTTGCCACAAGGATTAAATTTGCAAAGTATGAATGCCCTAGCCTGAACCCTTCAAAAATTATGGTCAATGTTGTATTTTTAAAGTAGGTCAAACTCCAAGGTCAAGGTCAAATGGTCAAGGTTCTTGGTATCCAATAATAGATCTTTTCATTAGAATTATATAAGTGAAGTTTGAAAGCCGTAGTACTTATTGTTCAAAAGTTATAGCCAAGGTTAAAGTTTTTTTATAGGTACGGAAATCTCCAAGGTCAAGGTCAAAAGGTTAAGGATGTTGGTATCCAATGAAAGGACTTACCACAAAGAATATATACATGAAATATAAATGTCCTGGTGTCTATTGTTCAAAAGATATGGTCAAAGTAAAAGTTCAAAATTTTTGTGTTAAAGTGGGTCAAACTCCAAGGTCAAGGTCAAAAGGTCAAATTTGTTGGTACCCAAAGAAAGGTCTTGTCACAAGGAATACACGTGATATATGAATGTCATAGCTCCACTAAATCAAAAGTTATATGAAAGGTTAAAGTTTTTGCGGACAAACAGAGAGACAGACAGAGAGACAAACAGACAGACGGACACGACAAAAATTATATGCCCCCGAAACTTCGTTTAAGGAGGCATAAAAACTTTGTCACGGTTAATTGAGGTAGCGCTTGCAGTTGTGCCATTTTCTCGAATTTTATCGAAAGTTTTATTTCAAAGATAACTGTTAACTTATACTTGCAAAATAATTCAAGAACAACATTGAAAATTAAAACATAAAAGCTGCAAAAGATTTTTTGGGAAACAAATATTCATAGTTATTAAATGTATGTATTTTTTACAATTGTAAATTAAAATAATTATACAAATCTTTTAAAAGATCTAAAGGTTTCTCTGGATTTCGATGCTTTTAATTGGGAACCTGTATTACTTTATTTTAAAGATGTGGATAAGGCGGACGAATTGCATATAGTGCGACAGACATGATTGAAAAATAAAATCTAAATTATATCCAAATTTGAGTGTTATTTCGTCTTATCTTAAAATATACTTAATGTAAAATCTCTCAAATTAACAAAAATCCTAAAAGAGATACATGAGATTGCTCCATTTTTGTTTTGAAAGATAATCCTGAAAGTTTGCAATAAAATTTACATTTTTGGTTTATAAAAACCATGGAGCAAGACCCATTGTACCTTAAAATTACAGATTTATGACAAAACATTCGCATCTTTATCAGAAATACTTTAAGTCAGAGGTCATATTACAAACACGATATAAATGCCCAAATTCATCACAAGTCATGTAGCATAGTGGTTAACTCGTTTGTCTAAAAGCGATATGATAATTCTGATATTTATTGCTAGAATTCGAATCCCACAAATTCCATCTTATATTCTTATAACAAAATAATTTTTTCCAAGATTTTTTTCTTTCAAAAAAATTTGTTTTACATGATTTCATAATGTTAATAATGAGAATTAAATTTAATCACTCAATTCACAAATTGAATATGATTTCTTAATATCAGAAGCTATAGACATTCTGCACGCATTGTTCCCCATCTTTACGATAATGTTTTGAAAAATTTTATGAAATTTTACATACCTCCGAAAACAGCGATTAGAATTGGGGCCCATCGCTTATGGATTTCACAGGGACATTGAAGTACAATAGAAACGATGAAACAGAAGAAAAGCAGTACAAATCCAATAACTGCGAATGACTGAACAGCTCTCATCCAATCTAGATTTTCCAAAAATAAATTAAAAACATACACTCTCGATATCACGCACATTTTTACTCAAATGGGTTTTCGCACTAATTAACGTCACATTTTTTCAATGCGAATATGTGTAACGAGGCAAAAACATATACTTTTAGAATAATTTATGGCTTAATTTTAGTTTTCTAAAATTGTGACATGATATTAAATCCCTCCAAAGAATATAAATGATTGTATCATCTGTTCTTAACTAACTTTTAAAAAAATATTCAGATATAAATTGATAGGATTTTGATATCCTCATCGATGATAGTTTATAGTTCCCAATAGTTTTTTTTTAAGTTTCTCATCAAATGCAGTTCTCTTTGTATCCATTCTTTTGAAAGTTCTTTGTCTTGCATATCACAGTTAGACACAGAAACAGTGCTGATCATGTAACTTTTGTATTTTCCACGCATTGTAACCTGTATTTTCTGTACATATGTAAGACTCAAGGTCCGATGGTGACGCCAAAGTCTGATGGTCTCGCCAAACCTCGGTGCTCTGCGCCAAACTCCTATGGCTCGCTGTCTTTACGGACGCCAAAGTCCGATGGCTCGTTTCTTATGAGACACGCTGCACTAAAGTGTGATGGTCTGATTCGACTGATAAGGGTTAGTCCTTGAACAATATTGGATTGATTATGCGTTTCTTCGAACCCACCCAAAACAATTCTAGGGTTAGTCCAGTCCTCCACTGATTTGGATTAGTTCAGCACGAACCAAGATATTTAGGTTTATGCATGTAGTTACTGAGTGCTACGCATTTTTCGACTGATTGGGCTTAGTCTCGCACCTTTATCCAAAAATTGAGGGTTAATATTTGCATTTAATATTATTTTAAATAATCTGTCCTCGACGCTGGAGCGGTATCGCAATTTTGGCACAGCATTACTATGACGTCATAAACGTTAATCGTTTTCAGCACCATCAGGGTTTGGCGCAGACCATCGCACTTTGGCGTGACCATCGGACTTTGGAGTCCCATCGCACTTTGGAGTCCTTCACATAAAAATGACTCTAAAGCGCAAAATGATTATTTCTTATCTACGTGTATTCGAATGCTTTCCATGTTAAGAAGCGGGTATTTTTTCTCAAATCAAGCAAAGCTGTTAACTTTGGTGAAATCTTGTGATTTCAAATTGATTTCAAATAAACTCAAAGGTCAAAGTTGTTGGTATTTAATAAAAGGTCTCCTCACAAGGATTACAAATGTGAAGAATGAAATCCATGTAGCCCTAACTGTTTAAAAGTTAGGACAAGGTTAAAGTTTTTTTCATATGTACGGGAATCTCCATGGTCAAGGTCAAAATTATTGGTATTCAATGAAAGGTCTCCTCACAAGGATTACATATATGAAGTAGGGAAGCCCTAGCTCTAACCGTTCAAAAGAAATGGCCAGGATTAAAGTTTTTTTTCATAAGTATGGAAATCTCCAAGGTGAAAAGGACAAGATTATTGGTATCCAATGAAAGGTCTTGCCACAAACAATACATATGTGAAAATATGAAAGCCCTCGTATCTACCATTCAAAAGTTATGGCCAAAGTAAAAGTTTGGAATTTTTGTAAAAAAAGTGGTTCAAACGCCAAGGTCAAAAGGTTGAATTTGGTGGTATCCACTAGGGCTTTCATATTTTCACATATGTATTTTTTGTGGAAAGATCTTTCATTGGATACCAACAATTTTGACCTTTTCACCTTGACCTTGGAGATTTCCATACTTGTGAAGAAACTTTAACCTTGACCATCTTTTTTGAACGGTAAGGGATAGGGCTTTCATACTTTACATATGTAATCCTTGTGAAAAGACCCTTCATTGCATACCAACCTTGAACTTACAGTTTGACCTACTTTTAAAAAACAAACATTGACCATAACTTTTAAAGGGTTAGGGCCGTTAGGCTTGTGCTTTTAATTTTTTCATATTTAATCCTTGTGACAAAGACTTTCATTTGATAGCAAAACGTTTACCCTTTGACCTTGGTGTTTGACCTACTTTTAAAAAAAAATAACCTTGAACATAATTTCTGAACGGTTAGAGTTAGGGCTTCCATACTTAACATAAGTATTCAATGTGGCAAGACCTTTCATTGAATACCAATTACCTTGACCTTGGAGATTTTGTACAAAAACTTTAACCTTGGCCATAACTTTTGAACGCTAAGGGCTAGTGATCTCCTACTTTCCTTATGTAATCCTTCTGAGAAGACTCTTCATTGGATACCAAGAACCTTGACCTTAGAGTCTGACCTACTTTTAAAAGAAAACCTTGACTTTTCCTTTTAAAGTGTTAGGGCTATTGCTTTCATACTTTTTATATTTAATCCTTGTGACAAAGACTTTCATTTGATAGCTAGACTTTGATCCTTTGACCTTGGAGTTTGACCTACTTTTTAAAATCTTAACCTTGGCCATAACTTCTGAACAGTAAGGGCTAGAGCTACTTCACCTATGTATTTTTTGTGGCAAGACCTTTCATTGGATAACAATGACCTTGACCTTGAAGGTTTCCGTGCTTATGAAAAAAATTAACCTTGGCCTTCACAAACACATCTTGTTTTTATCGTAATAGCTCATACATGAATGTCAGAACTGATAAAAAATGATGTAATAAAATTTCTCTCTATCAGTATAATGAGATCTTAGATTTTGGAATTTAGAGGGAAAAACTTTTACCATATCTGCATGGCAAAGATGTCTACATTTATATAAATGTAGTGAGTGTATCCTCGTGTGAATTGTACATTGTAGGTTCTTTTTTTAGGGGGATGGGTCTTGATTAGAGAATAATAAGGGGTTTACAATTTGAATTGAAATTTATAGACTACTTACAAAAGGAAGCACTGTCAAATTTATGCAAATCAAATCAATGCAGTATTCAATGTGCATACTGAAGAACTATAAAGCTGGTTTGGGGACTCAAAGAAGGGGCCTTTTGCCTATTGACAAAGACGTTGGAAATAATTAAATCCTAATCCAACAAGAGGGTAAACCCTAATACTTTCAATGCCTATACTATGTCAATCTGTGCAACAACAAAAATGTGGGAGGATTACCCCCCCCCCCGAAAATCCAGGGTTTTACAAGATATGTTCATCTTGCATTACTAAGTATATGATGGAACATCTACTGTCATTATATTGCTCAAGTATATAACTATTGATTTTTTCTTTACTCTGTGAAATTGTAATTTTAAAATTGGGCAAAATAAACAAAGTAAAAAAAATTTTTTGGAATTCATTGAATCTCTAAATTACTCTCAATGATTTCGTACATTTTGAAATAGAGCTAGCTAGATGAAAATGTTTATATGATAAAATATATATGTACCAAAACAAGGGCATTCACATCGATTTTAAGTGTCTAATTTTCTGTGTGAGTCATTGCTGATAATTACAAATCTGGTAGTTAAATTAAGTTATCCATGTCAGACTTAAAAAAAATCTAAAAATACCACATTCGTTTAATTACCAGTGGAGAAAAGTTCATTCGTTAATTTTAATTTTGATATTGCACATTTTTCATTGCCTGGAATCAAACCATAGAAGGTTTTTTTTAATAACATGTTCACTAAATTATTTAACTGTTCAATAAATTAAATTATTATTAAAGTGGCAATACGACGCTTCTCTTCAAAAACAGACTTGTTAAAATTTTCCTATAGGATTTGGAATTTGTTTCATACTCATAAATGTATACACTTTCAGAAAATAACAAATTTTATAAGTAAATAATTCTGATTATTTCATTTCGATAATTATTTATGGTACATAAATATATACATCGCACCGTGTTTGAGGTTCCACATCCCATGCTATACACGCATGCGTATAGTTTTCATGAACAAAACAGCATAGTAGGAGAGGAAAGCCCGGTAGGCCTGTTAGATTGACAAAGTAGACCAAAACGAGAAACAAAACCAAAAAGAGGCCAATGGGCCATATAGGTCACCTGAGTATCTTGCCACAACTTTCCAACAATTGAATTTGATTCATGTTTTAAACTAGAGGCCATAAAATTCACAACTTTGCAAGAGGCACCATTGCTGATCAAATTTATACACTGAGCATGCTTATTTTGGTTACTTAGAACTCAGAGGTAGATAAGAGCAACAAAGAGAAAATGCATTTCCACTTTTAGTGAATTTCAGCGCACCTGGGTCAGGGCTTCTTCTGTTAGGGCGGATCCACAGTTGAGCTCCCCATCCAACAGGAACCACTGACCCTGGGGCCACATCTTTCAAAATTTTGGAAATATTTTAAAATTTTATTTCATCATGCTGTTGATTAAATTAATTAATACCAAAGTGCAGACTTCAAAGCATAAAACTATTTCAGACTATGCTAACCCCCCCCCCCCCCCAAAAAAAAGTTCCTCTGTCCCAGGGGACAGGGAATTAACCATTTTTGGAAGAAGCAGGTTTTTTCATAAATATTTACTAAGATCATTGGCATTATACCCAATAACAAAATCATTAATGACAAGATTTTCAAAGAAATCAAGCATTTTCAATTCACTATATAAACATTAGAGCCCCCCACCCTCCGAATACAAGAATCTCTAACCAAGGGACCCTGAAATTCAAAAATCTTAAAGAAGCATCCTTACTCCTCATTACTATGTACATAGTTCATTGGTTAAATACTCAGGAGGTGCAGAAAAGAAGAGTTTTAAAGAATTTATGCATTTTCACTATATATTCAATAAAGCCCAGCTCTAACACCAGAACCCCCAACCCAGGGGCAATGAAATTCACAATTTTGGAAGAGGTAGCCTTATTCAACATAACTATGTACCTGGTTAGTTTATTTAATACTCGGGAGCATAGAAGAAGATTTTCAAAGAAATAATTCATTTTTTACTATATAATCTATATAGCCCCCCCCCCCTTAGCACTAGAGCCCCTGACCCCTGGGGCCATAAAATTCATAATTGTGGAAGAGGCAGCCTTATTCAACATAGCAATGCACTTGGTTAGTTTATTTAATGCCCATGAACAGAGAAAAAGAATTTCAAAGAAATTTTGCATTTTCACTATATAATATATATAGCCCCACCCTATCACTAGAACCCCTGACCCTAGGGCCATTAAATTCACAATTTGAGAAGAGGAAGTCTTATTCAACATAACTATGCACTTGGTTAGTTTATTTTAAATGCCCACAAACAGAAAAGAAGAATTTCAAAGAATTTATGCATTTTCACTAAATAATCTATATAGCCCTGCCCTAGCACTAGAATCCCCGACCCTGGGGCCATGAAATTTATAATTTGGAAAAGGCGGTCATTTTCAACTTACCTATGAACTTGGTTAGTTTATCTAATGACCATTAACAGAAAAGAAGAATTTCAAAGAAATAATTCATTTCACTATATAACCTGTTTAGCCCCGCCCTAGCACTTGAACCCCTGACCCTGGGGCCATGAATTTCACAATTTTGGTAGAGGACTCGATGTTGATTACAATCATACCAACAGTTTAACTGCTTGATGTCCAGGAGTAAAGAAGAAGATTTTAAAGATTGCACTAATTTTACTGGTTTTTGCTCCACCCCTCAGGACCCAGGGGGCAGGGACCATGAATTTCACAATTTTTGTTCCCCTTTACCCATAGATGCGATATGCCAAATTTTGGTGAAACTGGTTCAGTGATTTCAGAGAAGAAGCTTAAAATGCTGAAATATTAACGCATGACTACGGACGAAAAGAGACAGCAATAGGTCACACGAGTTTACTCAGGTGACATAAAAATAGGGCTTGAAATTAAAATTAAAGCAACTTTCCTGACAAAAATTAAGTCGGGATATTAAATTTATCATTGGATGAAGAAGAAACGGGATCTTGGAAACATTCACGTGGGGCTTGCGATGGTTCTGTTACTGGTTTGTTGATACATGCTCTCATTTCTCGTATCTCCATGGCTTTCAAAAAAAATTCAGTGTAAACTCAACATAAAATTGCACTTATGACATATAAAAATCATTGCCATTTGAACTGCAAATTGTACTGGAACTGCAGAAATATATTTTGTTTGACATTTTGCCACGATGACGTATAATTTGGTGGATTTTCCTTTCCTGCACCCCAATACACAAAACGTCAAATTTGTTTCTAGTCGTGTTAAATTCGTCTGAATGCTGACTAAAATGTTTTAACTATTATTAATTTACCGGAGAGTAAAGATATTTTTATTCTGAGAATTGCTTTTACCTATAATATTCCATTATAATTGTAAACTCTACAATGTATGCACGTGCCATTTTAGAATTCACGTGGTACAAGTAAACAGATCTAAGTTGTACGACCCTTGATTTTCCGGCAGATTCTAATTACGTTAATTTTGTATGAGTAGAGAATATTCATTTTTCTCAAAACGCTTACTTTACTTTTTACCTTATTCCTGAATGATATATATTGGGTAAATCTGAATGAAAAAGCATAGTCGATTTGCAGCCGTATTGCCGCTTTAATTACTTTAAATCACTATATTACAGAACTTCCCTTTGTAATTTGTTAATAAACTATATATTTTTTAAAAAATTAACTCTAATTCCTTTCCATTTTTTAAAATAAAATTAATTTAGTGGTTGTGTAATTTTTACTTTTCCTGTTGTTTAAAGGTTTTTTTTTTCATTTTAGACCATTCTGTGCCTTCATAATTAGAAATGGTCTGAAAAAGAATCTAGGCTAAAAAAAATAGATCACGCCCTGCTGTCCATGAACTACTTTCATATGGTTCTTTACACTCATTCTGAAGACAACAGTACCTTGTTTTGAACTCGAAATAACCATTTAAAATCGCTAAATTTAGACATTTTCTCAACAAATGGTTGTAGAGAAAACATGAATGCACACTGCATTTTTTTATGTTTTAAGGCTCTGTTGAATTGAGTAGCTGCGCATTTCTAGAGAACATATCAAAGGCATTTTTCTGCAAAAGTATAAATTATTTATACAAAACATGCACTCAGTTATGCATATTTATATCTTTATCCAAAGGACTTGAAATTTTATCAAATTATAGGGTATTTTAGCCATTTCAAGAAATGTTTACATTTTGTACTGATTGCACTTAAGGTGGCCGGACATCCCCCTTAAATCACATCGCATTACATAAACATGCATAATAAAGAAAATGGAGTAACTCTAATACTTACCACTGCTTGGGGCACTATAACATTCAGAAGGGTTCCCGGTACAGATTTTCCATATTCCGATATGCTCAGTATAATTTCCCCTATCCACTGTAATCCATGAAGACTCTCCAAATCCAATGATAAGACAAACTAACGCCGCAACCGTCACAACAGTAACTGTTGCGAATAACAAACGTGATAAACACGTTTTCTCAGGCTTCTCCTAAAAAGAATATACAAATAAAATATACACGATTAAAACAAAAATGCATGCATCGGCTGAAGTTGCACATTGTTTGAAAGATTTTAACACAAACATGACGAAAAATACACGAATCCGATTTTTTACACGATAAAGAGGTATAAAAATGCTAAAACTTAAAATCGAAATGGCACGAGCAGAGGAAATGGAAAATTATACAAAAAATTTACTGCATGCGCATACAGCTGCGCATATCATTATTACACGTATGCACTGAAAATATTCATTGTGTTCTAGGTTTTCTGTACTCTTTATCTTTTGAAGAAATTTGGATATCATCAAGAGAAAATGGCGTTGAGGATGAAATGCATGTTTGTTTGCTTCTTAATTTCTTTGCGAAAACTTGATCCAAATTCTAGCAAATACCAAACCAAACTAAACCAGTACATAACATACGATATATTCGACTCTGAAAGTATAATTCAAAGTTAAAAAAGAATTTAGGGAATATCATAACAAATTCTTAATTCCAATCTAAAAACAAACATCTGACTTTGGGCTTGATTTTAAAAATATTGCAATATTTTTATTTAAATAAACCTACTGTAACCTGTTACGTAATATGAAAAATATATGTACTAGTAATACAAAGCAAAACGGCTTTAAAAATGAATTTCTAACTGATCAGATAACTCAACACAGATTTTTAGAGGCCTGGGTGGTTGTGGCCATTTTAGACTATATTGATCCCCTTTAAAACTAAAATGTTTGAAATTTTTCTTTGCCAAATGATGGTTGACAGCTTTTGATATCATATCTAAAAATGAAGTTACTATTATAGAAGTAAATAATTTAAATTTTATTTGAATACGAAACTAAACAAAGACTTTTTAAAAAAGATTTTAAAACTTTTATCTTTTACGAAAAATGTGTCAGGTTTTTGCTTTATACGAGCTTACCATGTAAGCTGATTTTTTATATAAAAAAGTTCATTTGTCAAAAAAGGCCAAATTTTGGCAAATGTTTTCCTTTAACTGATTAGCAACTTGTTACAAAACAATGAACTTTTTTTGCACATTGTTGATTTGTTATTGATATTTGTGTCTTTTGAATTTTGAATGTATTAATGTTCTTTTATATTAAAACAGTTGTATATTACATAATTACTAGTATATTATGGTTAAAATATACAATGAAATATCTGAAGATAACGAAGTGTATTCAAACTCAAACGTCCAAACAGAACAAACACGGACCTCTAAGTCATCAGAGGCTTGATTAGGTGTCATGGAGGAGTAAAAATACAGCAAGATTTAAAAAAAAAAATCGTGTGCTCCTTGTCAAAAATTGGAAAATAACTTTAAAATAAAATCATTGTACGACTAAAGGGGTATATAATGCTTCTTCATCATTTTGGTTGACAATAAGTTTCCTCGTTTTAGAAATTGCTCTTACATGTAAATACACTGTAGAACATGCTCTGTGGTATCGAATCAACTGAGATGTATAAACTCTGTACGCAGGTGATAAGCGTATACTGCTGCATGAGTAAGTGAAGTTGACAATTAACCAGAAGTCTCTGCCGAGACTGAAGCTCTACTGGATTTTACTTATAGCAAAGGAAGAGAAAAGTGGCAGTTGGGAATTGAAACTTTTCAACAGCAAAAAATAGAATAATGATCCTTGATTAAGTCTCTTTATGTTATTAGTGTAATCTACTTGCATGCAACATTATATTATAATCAGACTAAAACTGTATTTGGGGAAACATTTTGATAGTATTTTACAGAAATTACTATCTTTAGTAACCAAGGCAATAATATTCATCAAAATCAAAAAAAAATTAATAGAATTACGAATCTTAGTTTAGTCTACTTCTGTGAAAAATTATATTGAAATCAGACCAAAACGGTAGAAGGGGTAGTATTTTGAAAGTATTTCAAAGAAAATTCTATGTTGAGTAACGATGGCAACATTGTTCATAAAAATCGAAAACCGATAAATAGAATTGTGTATCTTAGTGTAGTCTACTTGTGTGCCAAGTTATATTGAAATCAGACGAAAACTGTAGGGGGAGTAGATTTTGAAACAATTTCACAGAAATTTCTATTTTTAGTAACCACAGCAACACCATTCATCGAAATCAAAAACCGATAAACAGAATTATGTATCTTAGCGTAGTCTACTTGTGTGCCAAGTTATATTTAAATCAGACCTAAACTGTAGGAGGAGTAGCATTTTGAAGCAATTTCATAAAAAATTTCTATTTTTAGTAACCACGGCAACACCGTTTTTCGAAATCAAAAACCGATAACTAGAATTCTGTATCTTAGTGTAGTCTACTTGTATGCCAAGTTATATTGAGATCATACCAAAACTGTATGTGCAATTTCACAGAAATTATATTTTTAGAACCATCATTGAAATCAAAAACCGATAAACAGAATTATGTATCTTAGTGTAGTCTACTCGTGTGCCAAGTTATATTGAAATCAGACCAAAACTGTAGGAAGAGTAGCATTTTGAAAAATTGTTTACTTACAGACAGACAGCTAGACGGACGGACGCCGGACGCTTTACTATCGCATAAGCTCTTCTGGTCTCTGACCAGTAGAGCTAAAAAGTTAAAATCATAACTTTTATCATAAAGCTTACTATTGAAGTCTTTTTTAAGTAAAAGATTCGAACATGAAACAGATGCATCAGACTCTGTGTTGCATATAATGTACGATATATATCTTCCTAACTTACTGGGATATGTCTTGTCGACAGAAGAATGAAAATAACTATAATTTGTAGTAGACAATTATACGTCGTCGATATATATAAATGTCGAGTGGAAGGCCGCAGCATGTGTTTTCTTCGTTTCATGTAAAATATTTTGAACAAAGTCTGCTTTATATGTAGAAAAAATTTGGTCTGCCAGGAACGGGCACAGTTGGTACCCATGGATTGATTGTTGGAATACCTAGCTGGTCTTCACAAGTCACCTAGAGTACTTACGTGTACAATTAGAATATTTTAAAAATAATTTTGAAAATGATCAATGACAAGTTACAGTGGCTGGAACGTTATTGTTGACAAACCAATCGTGTAGAATCGTTCGTGTATCGTGAGTGATCGTTCGTGTAACGTGCAAGATCGTTCGTGTATCAGACTCAATCGTGTGCGTTTTTAATCGTGCGAGATCGTGCGTTTAGAATCGTGTAAATTTCGTTTTGTAAGTTTTTATCGGAATGTTATTTGTAAAATAAGCATTTCCCATGTTTGTTTTTCTTAATTTATTAATTAAAATCCAAATAAAATGAAATAGCGCAATTTACATAATAGAATGCAGAACGAACTAATTATCGCCCATAAACAAGCAATAAAGTAAGTCGTACAATATTAAGTTCTCGTCAAATAGCGCGATCAATATTGTGATAATCCGTACTTAGATCTTTAACGCCTTTTTGAAAAATCTGATTTTAATTATTTTTTACTTTTTATTGTGGTCAAGATAATCTTGAAATCAATTCATTGAAAATAAATGTATTTTTTTAAACAAAGAAATAAACATTTCTCAATGCTTACATAACTAGTTAGTCGACAATTATACATGGACACGGCATGATTTTCGGGAGTTTTGATTATCTGTGTTTATCTCTTGAGCCTATATGAAATTAATTAATTTTAAATTTCTGCAAATGAAAAAGTTGAATAATTGGCAAGTTTATCAGACATTGAATCATTGGAAACATAAGGATAAGATTTGTAATTATGATTTAAGTCATTCCATGCTGCCATTTTTGTTCAATCGCATCCCCCTTTCTGCATATCATGATATCCAATTCAATCAAATTATACGACCCACATACATGTACATCGTCTAATCGAACGAACAAAATCCGTTTTTTTTTATCGGAGAATTACCTTAGAAATAATTATTTTTAATCTAAAATATTAAGTCTTGCATATATTTTAGTTACAGAAATATCATTTTCCGTTTTTTATCTTCAACGTCTATGAAATAATATTGATAATTCTTTGAAATCTTAAATAAGTATTAAGCAGTATTTTGTTTTGAAAATATTGATTCCTAAATATTTTGAACTATTTTGAGTGAGGAATCGTGCGTTTGCGTTAACAATCGTGTAACGTGTAGAATCGTGAACGTGAAAGATCGTTCGTGTAACAGGTTTAATCGTGCGTTAATCGTGCGGAATCGTTCGTGTAACGTGATCGTTCGTGTAAGTTGTCAACAATAACGTTCCAGCCACTGTAACTAAAGTTAATTTACGACTTGGAATGTCGTACGTTTTCATGTTGCTGATTTTGGCAAATTTTTCATTTCAAATTTTCCAAAAGTTCATTGGAATTTGTACGTATTCACATCTAATTTAGGCCTACACCATTTCTTGAATAAATTGATATACAGGACTCTTAAAGTCAATCCGTTCCAAATGTAAGTTGGTGATCTTTTATATCAAAATGCTAAACAAAGAACGCATCTCTACTGAGCTCGTTTTCACTAGGCAACAGAATAAACACAAGTTTTAAGCTTCTTCTTTCTTTCATTTAACAATCATCTGTCAAATCTTGTGTTTTCATAAACCGTGTACAAATTATACTTCTGCAAAGGACTTTTCAAGATATACGTTTAACTTTAATTCGATCGTTTCTCGAGTGCGACTGAGGCAACCGTTTTTTGTCACAAGTGATCTACATGCATATTGGTGTCATTTTCAAATTGTTAGGTCAAAAACACAAATAAAATAATACTAATACAAACGCTACTTAAATGACTCTCTGTCCGTCAAATATCATTCTTTTCTGAATTGTACTTATGGAAATAAAGAGTTCGCAACCTTTTTGATCTAACCTCGTATTAAAAATGACTAATAAATGAAATATTGAAATCTAATTGATCAAATTATTGGACTCGTGGTGGTTAAACCCACCCATTAAATGATGCTTTCTCTGCCTAGGCTCCTGATCCCACCTCTGTTTTTTTATGATCTGTTCACAAATTTAAATTGTTTGCAGTTTTAATAAAATCGATCACTGGTCGTTATCTTTCCCCTTCTTTTATGCTGTTATAAACTTCTAACGTAAAGTCAGTACTTTTCTTAGGAAAATAAATTTTGACACCAATTGCTGTTTTTTATGTTAATAAATGATGGAGAAAAACTGAATAGTCGAATCAATAGTTTCTTTTCCAAAAGAGAGTTGATCTTGATGTTTTCGGTCCAGTTCGTTAAGATAAACTCACAGACTAAAAAACAAAACTTAGGACAAATTTCACTTACTTTCGTTTGGGCAGACTCTGAGTCATTCATTTTCATTTTTTTTAAATCTAGCTGATCTCTGAGTCAAGTTCCAATAGCTATAAAATCCATCCGTCGAGACAATCGAAAGCGGAAGTAGTTTCAAAAATGTTCTTTTAAAAAGTTTAAATATACCTTTATCTACGTTTGTTCTACTGGATCGATAAACTTAAGATGACCTTTGCCGTCTTTAAAAAGAAATGATAACCAGTGAAAGAATGCTTATTGCGAAAAAAAGGTTCCCTACAATGTAAGCCAGAATTTCAAGATAAATCGTCTTAGCTTTATGTTACTACTGCAAGGCAAAAAGTCAACGACAAATACTTTGTAAAAAGAATTTTTTTTTATTTCGTAATGCAATATAATAATTCACATTAAACCATTTTGATCCTTTTTTCTTGGTCAAAGGTTTATGTAAGTTATCTAACCAATGAGTATTATCTAAAGGATGGATAAATTCCGAATAATTATGTTTAACAAACATTTTTGGTCGTCTTGGTATCCAAGTCTCTTTAAAACGCATTAAAAATTTTAACTGTACTGTACTCGTACCACCGATCTAACAGACCGACATGGAAAACATACTGTGGTTTCAAGTTTAACATCATTGTGTTTTTATTTTCATTTTCTATGTCATTAAAAGGAATGTAAAAATAACACTTCTGTGTGAAAACAGTTCTTTAAGGATTAATT